TTATTTTGGTGCTTTTAGCCCCACCCCTCAGGCCCCAGGGGGGCAGGGACCATGAAATTCACAATTTTTGTTTCCCTTCACCTATAGATGCTATATACCAAATTTGGTTGAAATTGGTTGAGTAGTTTCAGAGAAGAAGCTAAAAATATTCAAATGTTAACGCACATCGCACGGCGCACGACGACAGACAAAAACGGATAGCAATAGGTCACCTGAGTGACTCAGATGACCTAACAAAAAAAAACAAACAAAACACACACACACACACACAACTTGTATTTTAAATTAATTTGTAATATATGGGGAAATCTCTTCTTCACGAGTTGCAAAAAAAAAAAAAAAAAAAAAAAAAAAAAAAAAAAAATGAATTTTTGTATTCTAGTTTCCTTCTCAAAATTTGGTCCTATAGTAAAATTTATGTAATATGAAGGTAAGTTTAACTTTCTGAAATAATTTGCTAGATATACAAGTATGTCTTTATCAAGTTAGTTTCAAATTTCTGTGACTTATGTCATATTTGATGAATAATTCATTGCATCTTCTTTTCAGAGGAAACACAAAGATATTTACATGAGACAAAAAGATTATCAGATGAAAAATCTTAAATGCCTATGGAAACATACACCCAAACTTCTTCAAAATGATCCAAACCAGTAGCAGATTACCGAAGCTTTGATTTCATTCACAGCAGGAAGTTTGACACCACTTTCAATTGCTGAAAATCCAGAATTCCAAGTGTTAGTTAAATCATTGAATTCCAGATACAAGTTACCTTCTCGCAAACATTTCACAAAACTTTTCCTTGAATGATCAGCCAAGATCCAAACTAAAATAAAGGACAAGTTACAGTCTGTGGAGAATGCCTGTTTGACTATTAACCTCTGGTCAAACAGACAAATGAAGGGTTTTATTGGTATTACAGGTCACTATATATTGGATTGGTGCATGGAATCGATTATGATGTCACGTACGCTATTTAAAGACCAACACTGTTCCGAAGACATACGGCATGAATATGAAGAAGCAGTAGCCTGCTACAATATAGCAGAAAAGATAGCTAACATTGTAACGGACAATGCTACAAATATGGTTTAGGCCTTTCAGATTACTCTGCAGATTTACAAGTGACAAAGTTAAAACTTTGAAAGAAGACACCTGCGAGTCAGATAGTGAAGATAAGGATGTAGATTCTAGTTTGGAGCCTTGGAATTCGACTATACTATTGATGATATTCCCAAGCATGGTAGATGTTTTGTACACATTCTACAATTGGGTGCCAAAGATGGAATGAAGGAAGTTAGCCCACATTTAAAAACAGTCATTACAAAGACTGTGAACATAGTCAAATATGTCAGTAAATCTATGGAAGAGACATATTTCTGGTGATGGTGTGGAAGTATCACAGTACTTTCTTGGGCCATGTGATGAACAAATCCATTGCAATACTGGAAGGAAAATGCAGACAGATTTTCTATTCTTGCAAAACTTGCAAAAATATACCTCAATGTACCTGTTACTTCTGCACCAGTGGGACAGATTTTTAGTATTGCTGGGAAGATCTTCAGGCCAGATAGATGCAGATTAAGTGACTCTACATTTTAAATGCTAATGATGATAAAGTGTATTATTATACCTCTATTAAGAATACTCAAATTTGATTAACTTGTTACTCAATAATGACTCCTAAAAGTATTGTTTAAAGCAATAATGACCTAGGAACCATTGCATGTGGGGTATAATGACCCGGTCATCATAAATAATGACCGCTAAAATGACCTGTTAATCTAAATTCCATTCAAGTTAAAAATCTATGCATACAGTAATGATTGTCCATTAAAAAAACGCCGTTTTAAAAATATGCATAGTCTTTTTTTATGATACGGAATACGATTGGCCTTTAGATGCGTCATAAAATTTATCACTTTCGTTCCAAAGTCAAATTCAACGAATGTAGACTCGGCTCTTTTTTACAGTAAAAGTCTGCACCAGATTGTCATTGTACTCGGGAATGGTATTTGTGAATTTATAAAAATACATGTTACTGACAATCACAGAGTGTTTTAATAAATCGGCGGTGCAAAAACTTACAAGACTTGCAGGCGAAAAATAAACAACTTCACTAGCGAATCCCGATCCCGATGGAACACTGATAATAACAGTTCGTAGGTCTAATACACAATTGATTATTTTCGTAATTAAGCCTGCAAAAATTGTCTTAACTTATATCGGTATAATAAAACAATTGATTACCCTTTATGAGTTCAACCTGGTGAAATAAGGACCCACGGCCTGGCCCACTCGCTGACCTGACCTCGGCCGCTACGCGGCCTCGATCAGGTCAGGTCACCTCGTGGACCAGGTCTCGGGTCCTTATTTCACATGTTGAACTCATAAGGGGTAATTAATTGTATAATGAAAAGTGTAATGAAAAGCTTATAAATTAAGTATTGATAAGTAGGATTTTGAAATGATTCAATGTAAAAGTAAAAAGAAGGAAAAGAGAAAATGGGTACATTCTATATGGATGTGTTGTCATAATAAGACTACTGAAAACACCTTGTGATTTAGAAACTTTCCTAATTGACTCTGTGGAGTTTCTTACTTTCTAACGCTGCATCTCAGGGTACTCAAACCTCGTTATCTCGAAATCGATGGGATAAAATTTGTAGATATCCAAGATTAATCGAGATATCGAGGGTTAATTAAAGAATAAATGGTCGGGACTTCAAAACCCCTTCAACATATTCATAGTATTCGAGATATTAGTGTTCGAGATAGCGTAATTCAAATATATCTGATACTTCAAACTCTTCAAAAACAGATACCTTCAATGTCAAAACACCGTTATCTGTCTTTTATACTTACTTATTCGACTTAGAAGTATGGGAATGAAATTAAGCTAAATACTGTACATTGAAAAATCAAACTTAATCATTGCAAAAAAAGTGTTAGGGATAGGTCGGAAAACAGTGGAATTGCTTATACATAATGGACAATATAACTTCTCTCGCCTGGTGGATATGTAACTATCCCCTCTTCGCATGGAATTTAGTATTTTGGAGGCTATAAATAACACCACCCCTCTTTTCAAAAGAATTTGCGTATTATGAATAAATATGATATGCAATGGCTAAAATCAACAAACACTAGATCGAAATTCCGTGCATCTTTTCTACACCTTTTCGCAGGACTGCAAATTGGCCTTGGGTACTGTTACAGTCTGTATAATTCAATTTAAGGTGATTTATTGACATTCAAAGAAACTATGCTAGGCAAAACAATTCTTCGATGGTTGTCATTCATACGATGTAATAGAATAATTTTTAAACCATATCCCTCTACTTCTTTCAAGATTTTATATTATGTTTTTTTTTTTTCAAATCACCACTTGAAAAGGTAAGAAGTTCAAAATAAGCACGTACAAATTCATCATAAAACAACAAAGTATAAATTAATGATATGATAATTTGATCTTTATCAATTTTTTCCTTAGTGAAAATTGTATGTTTTTGAGTTTATCTTCAATATTTCCTTTTGAAATTTCTTCCAAAGAAGGAAGATACTACCATAAAGTGTGATAGATCTGGAGATTTTCCTGGTTTAAAAATTCCTCACTTAAGATACGAATAAGTGGTAAGTAGTCTTTTTGATTTTTCAAAGCAAGGTAAACAATATTAACAGTGGCAAATTTGCACAATATCGGAATTGCAAGTACTTTTGATTCGGAGAATTCCCAATAAAATTTTCTATCTAAGCAATATAAGCCACATACAATGCAGTAGTATTTTGAGCATAACACTTTGTATACATATTAAAACGAAAAATACTTGGGAATGGACCTTACATATTAGACATCTACACTACGCACCATATCAAATGCAAAACTGTTTTGCTACAACACTAAAAATTTAGTAAGAATCTTTTAATATATGATTTGGCTGTTTTTAAAATGGCCTTTCAGACAAATTAAGACGCGTTTTCAATTTCCTAATCGGGTTTTCAATTTCCTAATCCCACCGAAATATGGCTGAAATATTGCTGACTCGGCGTAAAAGAACAATCAATCAATCAATTTCTTAACCCATGACATATTTGTAACAATCTTTCATAGAGATTGATTGATTGATTGTATGTTGTTTTACGTCCCATTCGAGAATTTTTCACTCATATAGAGACGTCACCATATACCGGTGAAGGGCTTCAAATTTTGACCTTTACTCGGCACTCAGGGCCATTGAGCAGTGAAGGATCTTTATCGTGCCAACGCCTGCCGTGACACAGGACCTCGGTTTTTAAGGTCTCATCCGAAGGACCCGCAACTTTCACTTCAAAGTGCCGTGCGCATGGCGAAGGAACAGTTGCTTACCATTTTTATCGACTTAGGTCAGTCGCGGCCGAGATTCGAACTCACGACCTCCCGATCACGGAGCGAGCGCTCTACCGACTAAGCTACCGTGAACGGTCTCTTTCATAGAGAAAACAATGATTAAAATATGAATGTATGGGTTTTTAACTATCTGAGGTGCTGCATTTTCATCAGCATACACTGTTGCTGCATTGTTCTGATTATGATAATCTGAATGCTTGCTAAAATAGGTTTCTTCTCAAGAACTGGTTTACTGTAAATGTGGAAGTGTCAATAATTTCCTAGGGGAAAGTCTGGCAAATTTTGCGATTAGTAAAGCTCCCAAAAATTTAATCACCGTGCAAAGGGTTACACATAGGTATCATACTAAGCAACAAACCAACACATTTTGTAAATTCTTTAATTTCCACAAACAAACAAACAAAAAACAAAAACAAAACTACGCAAATACTTTGTTCCATGAAAATCGCATAATTTTATCCCGTGAAAATATCCACGTTTACAGTATATGTATCAGGCAAACAACTACCAGAAAATGGCAAGCATAGCCACAATCTCAAGTATTTGAATTGGTAACTTTGTTTTAAATTTCAAGTGAAAGATCTAAGATTATTCTTTAAAATTTAATTTGCAGGTTACCCTTAAAACAAAATATGGCAAGAATTCAAGGTAGGAGAACCTGTAACTGTGAAAATATTGGATTTTCATTGGCTGCATCCATCACTGAAGAAATACTCTTTGTTCCTATTTTCTCTTATGGAGAATTACCTGAAAACTCCGTATTCAGTTCCTACATCATTCTTGGAATAAATATTATGGCAAGATTCCTGGGCCTCGTGACAATGATATGTGCAGTTGTGTGTATTGTATTTGCTAAGAGAGATTGTATATTCAGTGTAAATCGATCCTCCGTTAGGAACATTACGTTGACTTTTTTGTGGCTTTTTTGTTTTCTCAAATGTGCAACATCTATGATACACACTCTTTTACATATGTACTGTTTGAAAGGCATACATTTGCCTGCAAAGATTGTTGCCATTCTTCTGATAGAATGTTCTACTTCAGTCCCATTTGATGTTTTCCTAACGGGATTTTTGACATATGCCGGGAGATATATTTTTAACAGGTTTAAATCTGTAAAATGTGTGACCTTCACTGTTTTGCTTTCCAAGATTATTGACGGAGCAATTTCAATGGCGCGTCAGATTTCTGAAGACAAGACAGTTTACAAAAAAACTTGAACTTTACAACTGCACTTTTGTATGTGAACCATCTGTGAGACAATTTGCCTACGTGGCGAATCTATTTCGATTACCCATAGCTCTCGAATTTTCCATTCTGACTACCACTTTTATAATTTCCTTACAACCAGGAATTGATCGGACGATTAAAACAATTCGTGAAATATCAATTGTGAATACTGAACACTACTGGAGAAATGTATTGGTTGTATCAACTGTGCTTCTAAGCATTTTAATTAACTTGACACTCTTGATAGTTTCAAGTTATTGGGTAGCAAGCAGGAATAATTTAGTCATAAAAATATTCATTACAATACCACATGCGCGCAGACACTATTAACATTTTTGTTTATTAACTATAAACTTCTATATCTTTAAAAGGCTAGAGTTAACAATTCAAACAAGAATGATAACCGTAAATTTAAATGACGTAGCTCTGTTAATTTCTACTGCTGCTTACCTTGGAGTTACAATTTTATCGCATCTTATCGTTCCAAACAAGGTGAGAAATCTTACTGTCTCGCCATCTTTTACCAAACCACTTTCCTTCTTTACGGAAAACGAATAACCTTTTGCAAAAATTGATAACGTGTCATCATTTACTCTTACAGGATGTCTTATAATTCTGATGGGAATCAACTTCACTCTATGGTTCACGGACTCCTTTGGTTATATATCCCTGGAAGCAACTAAAATTAACTACAGATAATGGTTTTATTCTTTATTTGCTTTTCCCGTTTTTCGCTTTCTTCCGATTTCAATCAACAATGGAACTTTTAGAATTCTACAGAAAATTATGACATCACATAGTATACTAACGAACATACAAATTATCAAAAGTAAAATATCTCATTTGGATTGATGTTTTGTTATTTAGTTGATGCTCTTTATAATGGATGGAATTAGAATACTTTCTTACAAATAGAATCTCATATGTACAGGTTTGGCATTGATGTATCATAAATGTTTCAATGTTCGTTATCTTCAATTTTTAAGCCCCCGTAACGAAGATTAGGGAGTATATAATTTTTGCCCTGTTCGTCTGTCTGTTTGTCTGGTTGTCCGCAAAAACTTTAACCTTGATTGGTTGGAGCTATGGCTTTCACATATGTATTCCTTGTGACAATATCACTGTTTCCGATTTCTTGTGTCTATCAATTGACACAAGTCTTTTCTTTGGGTAACAGCATTTCTGTTCTTTTGACCTTGACCCTGGAGTTTGACTTGCATTTGAGAAACTTTAACATTCGCCATAAGCTGCCATACGGGGGCATCAGCGTTTCACAAACACATCTTGTTTCATTTCATTCACAGCTTTAGGTATGTATTCGTCGGCTTATGATAAAAGTTTGATTAGAACTTCTAACTTCCAAATATTACAATTAAATTTTTATGACATATTTGAATTAAACAATGCAAATTATACAACATTCAATTTAAAACTGCTCACAAAATTGTTATGAAACAAGATTTATGGGGGACTGTTTCTTGAGGTGGAAGGATATTTAGAAGAAAATTTTTCAAATCTCACTTTTGTTTGATTTAATATCTTGGAACTTTGGCCCTAAATATAATTACTCGGAGAATTTTTTTCGCTATGATATGCTGAGAATATTAAATATAGGTTTCAATAAATATTTTAAAAACAAATTTTAAACATGCACTCGAGAGACTTTTCCAAAAAATGAAGATATATGTAAGAAATCAAGAAAAAAATTTCATTGTTTTTTCGCCTTTTTTTTTTGAGCAGTATCTCAAAATTTTCATCTTAGACCCAAGCTTTTACTTTTATTATTTTAAATTACACGATACATTTAACCGACCAGGACTAAAGTCATAAACAGCCTGATACAAGGAAATTTTTAAATTGCTTATCTAGATTTTTAATAACCCAAATATGACATTTTTTAGTAAAAAAAAAAAAGTTACACAATACTTTACGCACATTAATTTGCAAGATTTTTTTTCAATAATAGATATTATTCATACTATTTTACATAAAATAAGATTATATTTATGACCATGATTACATTTGGTAAAATATGATAAAGGAAGAAGTGATTATCCTAAAATCACAATTTAAGTGCAAAAAGGTCAAGTAATGATAACGTTGCTCACCAAGATGCACACTGACCATCAATTTTCTTTACGATTTTGAGTCATACTATATGAGTAGTTATCTAAAATATACTTCTAAAAAATCCTTGATATAACTCATATCACGAGTGACATACTTTAAAGTGAAGGCATCTTGCTCACTAAATAGAATGTTTCCCTGCCTTTGTGCAAACGAAGACTTATTCTTTTTCAAATTCTGAATTAGTTAAGGAATTAATTTAATTGCTATTATTATACTGGTATAATCTGGTTAGGGCAGTTTACGCTTTACAAACCGCGAAGCGGTTTATAAAAATGCGTAAACTGTTCCAACCCAGGTTATACCAGTATAACTTAGGCAGCTATTAAATTCCTTCCTTATAATTTAATTTTCCATTAATGTGTTATAAAGTGTAAAAAATAAGACAATTTCTCCTTTTAAATGATTTCAAATTGTACGTATATTAAATATAACGTCAAGTGGATTGATACGTTTTTGACCTAAGTCATTGTGACGTAGGCAACCCAGGTTATACGGTATATTCTAATTTTTATCTTGTTTGGAATTTGTTGGTGGAAAAGTGACAACGGAGAGCAATGTGTATTCTCTTGTGAAGGAGAAGATACCTCTTACCTTGCGATTTTACCATTTTCCCCAAATTAAAAGGAAATCTCAATGAAGTTTTTATCGATCTAAGATTAACAGTGAAATACACCTTTTCCTTTTAAGACCTGGGATGTTCTAAATCTTTATTAGTATGTGGATGAAGCGACACCAGAAATGTATCCAAGAAAAAAATGGAAATGTTGTGAAAAAATGTTAAAACCGACGATGACGTTACTGACGTCGAAAATTGACCGGCGGACTGCACCGGGTCATGACGCATTTAATTTGGACTAGGTCATATCTATATTTAGGTACATGTGTATGACGATGACATTTTTTATGCTTTTCAATTTATGCGTACGTATTTATGTCATATATATATCAAGATATATCAATATATATCAAAGCAAAAATTATAGAAACAGAATGAGAATTTTATCGCGCCAGTCCACTAACTTTTTTGATCATGTACCAGTCGTAGTTGAATGATGCATTGGATAGAGCCGTAGAGTATGAAGATAATCGGCAGGTTTGAATCCCATTTCGATCGGCTTAATACTTATTTGATCCATAGTTTTCATAATCAATAACAGAATTTGGGATTTAAATTGTATGCCTATTTCAAAGCTTTCTTGAAGTATGAAATCATTCACAAGGCATGACAGCATATCTGTAAACACGTGTTGAAATCTTAATGATTAATTCTCGTACATGTATGTGTATTTTCATTTTCAAACAAAAAAAAATTACATTGGAATGTGGAGAGCAGACTTCAACAGAAATCGCCTTGAATAATTAACACAAGTTATTCAGTATTAATTGAAATATTTCTTTCTTTTGGGGAAGAAACTTTTCTGAAAAGTACACAATTCCTTTGCATACATATGTCTTAATTAAGATAATTACAGGTGTAAAATTTCAGCACAATTCCAAGTATTTATTTCCTACATAAAAAAATGATACAGACATATGATGTATAAGGGTGTACAAAGTTTGAATACGTTTGATAGGAGGAAACTGACCTTGCGCTTCATTCTTTACAAAATCGAATTAAATTTCCTGTTACTACATGAATGTTATAAGGGAGATTCGACTACTTCAGAAGGAAATAACAGTGCATAAAGCATTCCATAATAATATATATAGGATCAATAAGTTTCGTATTAATCTTGTACGACATCTTGGGGTTACAGGAATGGAGGAACTATGACTGTGTAAACTTGGATTCTATTCCAAACACCTGAACTAGGTGCCCTACCACTGACATTGAGTTATCTGACCAATGATGATCTAACCTGACAGCTACATACCCTCCCTAAAAGTCTTTCATAATATCCACCTAAGCTAGGTTATTTCTATCATTTATCATCTGTCAAGTCCTGGACAAAGCACTATACATGTGTAAAAGAAAAAGATTAGACTATGATTCAATATGAAATCCCCTTAGTTTAAGACAAATGCTCAACTGCCCGAAGTATCCTGTCTCCAAGAGAGAGAGAGAGAGTTGCAAGCCCACCACAAAGGTGTGACACTTTCATTTTACAAAATGTATAAAGGATAAAATAAGTTTGGATCAATATCCTACAAACGATCAAATATTAAGCGTAAATTCCCCCTTTTTCTTTCCTCTCGGTGTCACGAGAGTATTGATAGATTTGAAAAAAAAAATAAGAGGAAGAAGTGAATTATATAAGATATTTCTGAATTACATGAACAAGTTCGTTGAATTGCAAGTCTTCTCACAAAATTATTTGTAGTTGCAATAATAACCTATTCCTTAAAAAACCTGTTACATTGCTAAACAATTTCGTAATACTTAAATTATCACAAAAGAAATCATAATAAATTTTCATGAGAATTCGGAATTCATTTTCAGAAACTCCCATTGCTTAGGCGCAATGGATTCGATGCCAAGATACCTTTTTCAAATGTGTAGTAAAAGGAATATTTCCTTGTCACATTCTTAGCTCAAAAGTATGAGGATCTA